TCCTTTTGTAGATTGGTCCAGTTAAAAACCAAACCAAACCAAACCAAACCAAACCAAACCAAAAAAACCCCCAAAACTTCAAAAATAAACAAACAAAAAACCAAACAAACCCAGAGTTAGAGGAAGCAATTCTCAGAGTTAGGCAGCAGATGGAAATAGGAGGAGAACCAGGGCTCTAGATGAAAAGTGGCTCGATGATGGTGAGGAGAGAAAATACTAGGTATTGCAAGACTCTTTTATCTAGTGGGAAAGACATAACAAGAACAAGAGTGGCTAGAAATTGAAGCCAAAATTCAAATGATAAATTAGGCACGGTAAAGGTGTTTGTTTTGTTTTGTTATACCTTGACAATTTTTGAAAAATAACAGCTTATTGTTTGGGTCAAATTCTGCCCTCCTTGACACCCATGCAACCCCAAAGTCATCAAAAAGTTGGCACAGCTTTACAGGAGATCATTAAAACTAGTTTTTATCATCCGTATCTTTCACACTCATCTTGATAATTTTCTATGGCAATTAGAGGGAATGCTGAGAATTCTGCACTGCAGATAAAGATGAGCCACTAAGAAGTACTGGTCATTTGGCTAGCTAAATCTAGAAGCAAGAGTTCCATTAATTCACAGAATAGGGTTAAGTTTTCAGAAATCTGATTACAGTCCCCAGACTGCCTGGCTTTGTTGGATGAAGTCATTTGTTACAATAAATGAGCTTCCTTATATTCATTGTTATGTTACCAAGAAGTCTATATTTCTGTATTATACGTGGATTGAATAAGGGAGAGGAATTTTTTGTGTGTAAGAAGCTTTTGCTTCTACAGGGGACCTAGAGGTCTGACTAGGTGCCCCTTTTCTAGTATTGTAGAAATCCAAAGAAACAGGCCCCTGACATTTGTGGAACTGGGCAAACAGGAGGGCTACGTCTACACTGGCCCCTTTTTCGGAAGGGGCATGCTAATTTTGAAAGTGAAATAGGGAAATCCGCGGGGGATTTAAATATCCCCCGCGGATTTAAATAAACATGTCCGCCGCTTTTTTCCCGGCTTGGGGAAAAGTCGGAAAAAAAGCGTCTAGACTGGCCCGATCCTCCGGAATAAAGCCCTATTCCGGAGGATCTTTTATTCCTTTGAAGTAGGATTTCCCTATTCCACTTTCAAAATTAGCATGCCCCTTCCGAAAAAGGGGCCAGTGTACATGTAGCCGAGGAGAGTGGCTTAGGGAGGGAGATTGATATTTCTATGACATCAACCTCACTTTGCTCTAACCCTGTGGTTCTCAACGGTGGTCCATGGTGACTTTTTCGGTGGTCCACAGGAACATTGTCCAAAGTCACACGGCATAAGGAGGCTGTTTTACGCCATGTTCACAAGCATGCAGTGCATCATCCATAGCATCACCTAGGACACAACCACGTTGTGTTGCCAGTAACTTCTGTCTGAGGCTCTGAGCGTCAGTGTAGCTGCCGCTGTCGTGCTGAGCGGTTGCTGTGTCATTCGTCCTGTGCTACATGTGGTGGAGGTGGTCCATGAAAATGTTTTGATTAGGACTGGGCCACTTTATGTTAGCTGAGGATTTGTTCCTCTATTTCTTCCCCCAGCCTCCTGCCATTTTAAAATAAATTGTCATTTTGTGAAACAACTATATATATTTTTTCCAACTGGCAGAATCAAACATGTCAGTGCAATTATACCAGGTATAAATTGGGTCTATTAATGTAAATGGTGTTATAATAGTTTTAAGTCAATGAGTAATTAGAACAATGTTTCAAATACATACAATTTGGAGGGAAATAAATTAAAAACCATTGTTGCTTGAATCACTACTTCATTTGCCAAGCATTTGGGTTTAAAAATTAATCTGCACTTCAGTTCAATAATGAAAAAGTTACCATAGCAACTACAGATATCATGACACTCCTAATACTTCCAAAGTATAGTATAGGTCACTTTCCAAACAAATACTGAAATGTTACATAATCTCATGCTAATTTTGTCTTTGACTTGATGAACACTAAAATAAATAAGTGAGGAGTGCCAACAGAGTTACATTTGAAAATATTATATATACACAGAGAGAGAGAGAGAGAGAGAAAGGGAGAGAGAGAGAGAGCTGTAACCAAGATCTCATCTAGCATTTAAAGTTTCTGTTTTGCCTACTAATTTCTAGATCCCTGGATGCAGATAGCCTGTCCTCAATTTGAAGTCACTCTTAAAATATGGAAGCTGTTGAGAGACAAATGTGTCACTATATTTTCCATGTTCTTCCCCTTAACATTTTAATTCTTTAAATACTTTTGAAAGGAAATGGGATTTTTTTGTTTTGTTTTTGGCTTTCCCAGAATCCTGCTGCTTAGTCCCATCTGAAGCAGCAATCCTGTTTGTAATGTCAAAATTGACTACTATGCAAATGACTGTATTTTGACAAATTTGAGTTCTTGTGGAGAACATGCAGCAAGGTCTAATGAAGTCTTTAGAAACAAAGATGTTATTTTTATTCAAATGAATATGGAGTGCCTGGTTCTGACCCCATTTATACAGGTCAGTGATCTAATTATATAATTATAATTGATGTCAGTGTATTCTGTATATCATTGGTTTCAAACAAGTACCATCTGAATTATAACAGTGCAACATTAAAATAAGGCCCAGAAAACCTATCCTAAAAGAGATTTCTTTCTAAATGGATTTTCAAAGATTCCCCAAGAGGTCTCAGCATGTTTTTATACATTTAAAACACTAAAGAAAGGTGGATATGATAGAGGTCTATAAAATCATGACTGATGTGGAGAAAGTAAGAAAGGAAACATGTGCACTTGTTCCCATAACACAAGAATTAGGAGTCACCAAATGAAATTAATAGATAGCAAGTTTAAATCAAACAAAAGGAAGTTTTTCTTTATACAACATACAGTCAACCTGTGGAACTCCTTGCCAGAGGATGTTGTGAAGGCCAAGACTATAACAGGGTTCAGAAAAGAACTAGATAAATTCATGGAGAATAGGTCCATCAATGGCTATTAGCTAGGATGGGTAGGAATGGTGTCCCTTGCCTCTGTTTGTCAGAAGCTGGAAATGGGTGACAGTACAGGAATAACTGTTCCTCTGGGACACCTGGTATTGGCCACTGTCAGAAGAGTAATGGGAGAGGTGGACCTCTGGTCTGACCCAGTATGGCCATTCTTATGTTCTAAGAATGCGGGTGTGTATCATTAAGTAATATGACTAAGGAGCTGAGAACCAATTCAATTTAGAACTTAAAAGAGAGTGTTACAGAATGGAGCAGATGGATTGGAGTACAGAATTAGAGGTTGTGACTTTACACTCTAACTTACAAAATATCTGGTTCACAATTTTCAACTGGATAATGACTATGAAGTCTATCTTTGACTATTTCTCTTCTCATATGTGTACTTCCCCCAAAGGAAAGCAAAGCTGGATTTTCAACAGCGATGGGCAAATTCAGAAATTTCTGTTTAAAGAAGTAACCAAAAGTTATTTTAATGGCCTTCCTATACTGGAATAAGCTGGAAGCTACTCCCGCAGCCAGCCCCCAATTGGTCTTCTAAATATAGGGACATAGTGAAGGAGGTGTAAAACTTGTGTTACTGTTCTGTACTATTCAGATATTTCCTTTACACTAGGGTAATCTCAAATCAAGTGGTTATATCAAACTTCTGGCTGCAGCTGCTCTGCACTGCAGGACTGGCCCAAACAACTGGAAGGGGAGCTAAGATCTCACCTTATAGATCTGTTTACATGTTCACAAAATAAAGTAACCATTTTTGACCTTATAAAGTTGGGATGTCTGTGTGAACTGAAACTTTTTTGCCCATAGCTACAGGCCCGATCAGAGAGCCAGGAAAGGGTTAAGCAGGTGAAAATTAATCACTACAGCTTTAACTGATGTCTCATTATTTACCAGTGCTCCCCTGTCAGTTTCTGTATCCCTCCAAACAATAATTATATTTATTTATGAACACCTGACTGCCCCTTAATGCACTCTGAAATAAGTGACTTCATTTCAGTAAACAATTACCAATACAAACACAGTTCATTTCTTTTCAACATGGTCTTTTACATCACCTGTTACATTTACATAAGGCTTTGGGAATCATTGAGCTGCTCTGAAAGTTAAACATTTTCAAGACAAACACTTTTCAGAGCAGCCCACAAGATAAATATATAAAGCAGTCTCCCCTCCACTCCTGGGCCTGGCAAATAACCCTGTTAAAGACTTGCATAGTGTAACAATACTGATACTGAGCCAAATTCAGCGCAGTGTAAAATAATACACAGTTCCACTGACTTAGGTGGAGCTATATCCCCTTAGAACAATGGTGAAATGGTCCTACTCTGTTTTGGTTTTATCCTTTATGCACATATATTCAGATATACATAGCACACAAAAGCCCAACTAGTACATGTCTTTCATATGTGCCAGAATATACATATAAACTAACTGTTTTGTATGTCAAAAACTACAAAGACCAGTAGTTCCTCAATTTGTATTGCACTTCTACTTTGCGTCAGTTGGACCACTTACATACATTTCACATGAGTAAGGGAATCTGACTCATAAAATTTAGTGATGAGCAAAACTCAAAGGAGACCAACTCAATTTGGAGAAGCATTTAAAATACCTAGAAGCTTAACTGAACCCTGTCTGAAAAAAATCGTTAATGAATGAATGCTGCAAAAGCACAAGTCTACAACCTTTTTCATTAACTTATGGCTTTAGATGTGCAAAATGATGTACCAAGTAATTGTCAGGAAATGTTTTTCTTCAAAGTGAACCCAATAAAACAACTAAATAATTAGCTAAAACATACACTATGGGGTTGGTCCTGTTTTCATTGCAATCAATGGAAGTCTCCCAGGATCACATCTTAAGAGTATGTCTATGCTGCAGTTAAATATTAACAGGCGCTAGGACACTGTGAAATAGGAAGGTCCAAAAGCTCATACTGCAGCCTGAACCCAAACACTATACCACAAGTAAACAGCCCCTTAACCCAAGCACAGCCAGCAAGGCATGGACTAGTCACAAGTGTCTAATTGCAGGGTAGACATAATAAGCTATTACGTCTTATCAATGGTTCCCTTGAAGATAACTAGAAGACTGAAATTAGGATAAATATCACATACTGGTGACAAATTTGGACCCAGACCCCAAAAGGCTATTCAGAACAAAAGGCGTTCAGACTACATCTTCCTCTTCCCCAGCTCAACTGAAAAACTAGAAGAACCAAGCTTGGCCTCACATCCATGAAACCAACAAAAGCAGGATCTTCTTACCATCATTTTTCCCCTTTTGTTTGTGGTGCATTTTCCTTCTTTCATTCCATGACATGAGTGTTGACTGCTGACTAGATCCAAATTAATGGTCTCCCCAGGATATTATATTTCAGGTAATTTCTTTCATTTCCTATTTTATTACTGGTCAATGAAAAAAAAACTGAGTAAGTAATTGCAATGTACATTGATAGTTTGTTTTTAAATATCTCTCTCCTAAGAAGAGGGATCATGAAAAAGGATTGCTGTACTGTGAGGAAAAAGGGATGTGCGGGAATGAGTTAAAGTTCTTGTTGAGAACTACATCACCCATATTCCATTGTTCTTGTGTTAGCTAAGATAAGAGACCGACAATAATAATTTTGTGAACATAAAAATAGTGAATGTGAGAAAAGTGTAAAGCTTATGTTGGGTTATAAACATCTCTCCATACCTTTTCTTCTATATTAACAACATTCAATTTGGTACTGATTGTCAAAGATTCCAAGGCCAGATTTTGAAATACATTTTTAAAGAAATGTGGTTCCCATTTAGACCCCTAAATAAATGCAAATCCTAGCATAAAATCTTCCTTGTTACATTTTACTCTAGGATAGACTGTAGACCTCTTACTTATTTTGGTGAACAACTATTTGCACAAGCAGGCACATTGGCCTCAGTGGGACTACCCATGTGCCACAGATCTGATCAGGCTTCCCAGGCAAGTGGCTCAGACTGCTCTGTGGAGGAGGAATCCAGCCTCTGAATCCCTTGATGTTTTAAGCCTCTGAAGACTAAACAGAGTCCAGGTGCTGCCTTGGACTTAGGTTCCCTATGTGTATTCTGGGGATACATATGGGGCTGCATATCTTCTCTCTGGCATCCTGTCCTGAGATGTGAGATCTCTGTGGTCTAAGTGGTCACCAACCAATAGATCAGGACGATCAGGATCTACTGGTAAATCCTGGAGCCTGACAGGTCATCCTGACTGGTTTGGCCAGTAGGCTATCAAGAGCTGCCACTTCAGTTGCCTCTCTCCCCACTACCATTCTTTTCCTGCCCTCTGCCTTGGAGCTGTCCCTCCAAGAGCCTCCTGCTTGTTCTGGGGATTGGGGGTTGGGGATATAGAAGAGGGGGGTGATGATGTCAGAATGTCCCCCTCCAGCCACTGCTATATGCCATCTCCACAGAGGGAGCAGGCACAGGGCCTCAGAGAAGGAGCAGAGGAGGAGGTGGGACAAGGATATTTGCATTTGAGGTAGATTCTGGATTGACCACTGACCTAGCTCTTTGAACCAGTGCTGCCCCTCCCCCAGCTTAAGTACAACCTCTCCCATAACTCCATCCAAAGTTATGAGCCTTCTGATTTGCCTCTTCAAGTGGATAGGTGAGGCATGGCATTCTCTGGCACTTTCCACAGAAGTCCTACACTACTGTCCTTTATTTACTCATATGAGAAATACACACATCCATACAGTCATACAAAAAGAATAAGCTATACAAATAAAAATCGTTTCCCTGACACAGTTTCCTCACCACTCCAGAGCATTCTCGATGCTAGAGACAGAGTCCTCTGTAGGATCCTGGATACCCCTGCAGCTGCATGACTTCTAAGCCAAAACATGGGACCTGACTCCCTAGGTAATCTGTCTTCCCATGAACTTGGCCAAGCCACCCTTCCCATGCTCTGCCAAAATTTTCTGAGTACCTCTCTGTAAGGATTTCCCCATTAAGCCTTTTTTGCTTTATCCCCCAGTAATCTCGCCAATTTTCCATTTACTTCAGACAGGAGGAAGAAATATCTTCCCCTAGATCAGTGTGTCTTATACTTTTTAAGATGGAACACCAAACAATTTTTCCCCCCAAGGATGGGGGGAAATTATTGAGAAAATAAAAAGGTTGCCTGCCCCTTTAAGGGCAGCCGTTTTGAACTCTGTCCAACTGCCTCGTGGCACACCAGTGTGCCGCGGAACACAGTTTAAGAAACACTGCTCTAGATTAAGCAAACCCAATGTATCAAGGTCCTTTATCTCTGATCTCTGAGTTTTAATGACTCCCCACCGTCCCTGACCTGGGAGAGATGTACACAGTGGAAATGGTGCCAGTTCATAGTGAAACATATTCATAGTAATCATAGTAATAATTTCATAACATGAACCCTGATTCATAAGTGGAATAGACTGACTTCCCAAATTGTCACGCTGTGCAAATAACATGTAAGAAAGTGTCACCATATCACAAAAGGAGTGGCACATCAGAATCTTGTAGTGCATCAAAGATGTAGTGGGGTTTTCTTTAATCAGAGAAACATACATCAAAAAAGGCACAGCAGAGTCTTTCAGGCACAGTTACAGCCCATACCATTGAGTACCTCATCTCATCTTTTAGTGCTCACAATCCATTCCCTGCTAATCTCTGCCAGAGTTTTAAATAACCCCTAAATCTGTGGTTCTCAACTGGTGGTCCTTGGACTGGTGGTCCATGGTGACTTTTTCAGTGGTCCACAGGAATATTGTCCAAAGTCACTCGGCATGAGCAGGCGCTGCCGTTAGGCTGTTTTATGCCGTGTTCACAAGCACGCAGCGTGTTATCCATAGCGCCACCTAGGACGCAACCACATTGTGTTACCAGTAACTTCTGTCTGAGGCTCTGAGCGTCAGTGTAGCTGCCGCCATTGTGCTGAGCGGTTGCTATGTCGTTCATCCTATGCTACATGTGCTGGAGGTGGTCCACAAAAATGTTTTGATTTGCCTGGTGGTCCATGGACTGAAACGAGTTGAGAACCATTGCCCTAAGTGGTGGCACTGGCTTCATTGAAGCTCATACCAGAGTTGGACCTAAGATAACACAGGGTTTGCTCTTACAAGATTCTCAATAATTTGCCCTTCTCAATGGTAGGATTGCCATTGGCTGTAATGGGAGAATGTATCCCATTGTGATCTAGAACAAAGTCAGCAGCAGTGCTGATAGACAGGATCAGAGCAGCGAAAGTAAAAGAAACCTATCATTCCATAGCCTGTAACAAATAGATTATAAGGTCTGAGTAGAGCAATAGTGAAGCAGACAAAGAGCAGCAGAGGGGCCTGAAGTCTGATGTTAAAAAAGCCCTCTGAAGCTTTAAGAAATATGTATAAAACAAACACAAAGGCCCAAACCTTCAAAGCACAATGCTCTGAGGATCTGTGCATCCTCAGTTCCAACCAAAGTCAGCCCTCCTAGAGACTCTCAGCACTTAACAAAATTAAGCTCCTCCACTAGGTAACAAAGGGAAAGCATAATAGGAATGAGTGAGCTAACTGCAAAGGTTAGCATAAAAAACAGGACTATTGGAACCGTCTCGGAAATAGTTAATGTTCCTCCATTCCTTCCTAATGTTCCTCATTTGTTTCCTAGCATTTACCAAAAGCTGACAGCTGAACCCAGACCAAGTTAAATATACAAATTTCAACAAAGGCCAGTATCACCAATGGCTAAAGCATGCATAACTTGATAAATTACCATAGCATTGAGTATCTATTGGGAAAGAGAGGGTAGGAGTGAATATTTAGGTACCTCTCAATATACAGTTAGGCCAAGGAACACTTTTTTTCTGAAGACACTGTAGTCCAGACACCATTGGATGGCATTAATCTCCATTTGCTGATTCACTGTCACAGTAGAAACCATCTTTGCAAGAAATAATGCAGTAATCAGTTCAACTATACAGAAATCCCAGATGGAAATTTCTTTCACAGTGAGGCTACGTCTACACGGCAGTGCTATTTCGCGGACACCAGAGTATGCTGAAATAGCTATCCTGCATCTTCACAGCAAATCTGTTATTTTGAAATATAACAGGCTTGCTATTCCGACATCTCTGTAAACCTCATTTCACAAGGATTAAGGCATGTTTCAGAATAGCAGGTTATTAATAGCATCGCTCAATTTGCGTATTTTATTTCAAGCTACAGTGCAGTGTAGCTGCACCCTGAGAAACACAAGAACCATTTGGATTTTAAAAAATGAAAATGTGAAAAGTTTATTTTTGTGTGTTACAAATCCTAGAAGATATGTATTAAGTCCATAACGATACCTGTAGTTATCTCTGCATTTCAGTTACTTTGCTGTCAAACTCCAGTGTTTGTTAACTTGTCATTTACCTTCAAATAAGGAAAAAGTATGTTCTCTGCAATCCAGAAGGAGATTGATATGTTTCAATTGGGATTCCCCACATCACGTGCTGATGAAATCTTTGCAATTAAAATTGCCTGAAGGTGGTATTTGTCTTGGGAATATCAAGAAAGGCATTGTCAGAAACCAAATGGAGCCAAGCTTGTGATGAAAAGCAGCATGATTAGGATATTTTTTAAACTGAGGCTACATCTAGACTACAGGCTTATGCACAAGAAGCTATTTTCAGAAGATGAGGAAGCATACCAGGAGGCATACCTGGGAGGTCGACAAATGTCTTTGATGTCGACCACGGAGCGTCCAGACTACCACGCTGAGCCGACAAACAGCTGATCGGCTCAGTGCGGCAGCCATTTAAATTTAAATGAATCAGCGATTATTTAAATCACCGCTTCATTTTCCTATGCCAGGTAGTCTAATCTACATGCCTCTGTCTCCAGAGGCATGTAGTCTAGACGTACCCTATGTAACTCAAGTGTGGACAAAACTGTGTAGTCTAGACATAGACGGAAGGATCAACTCCTGGACAGCACAGAGATGCTGGTACTCTTCATCTAATCTAGCTACCCTGATTATTTAACAGTTAAACATGTACTAGGAACAAATAAACCCTACAAACATCACAAAGGCTAAAGGGGAAGAGCTGTAGTTAGACGTGTTCATGATCACAGAGAAAAAAAAAGGGCAGTTGAATGTAGCCGGGAATGCAGGGGCAAGATTAGAAAGGCAAAGGCACAAAATGAGATCAAACTAGCTACAGGCATAAAGGGAAACAAGAAGACCTTTTATAAATACATTAAAAGCAAGAGGAAGACCAAGGACAGGGTAGGCCCACTGCTTAGTGAGGAGGGAGAAGCAGTAACAGGGAACTTGGAAATGGCGGAGATGCTCAATGACTTCTTTGTTTCGGTCTTCACCGAGAAGTCTGGAGGTGTGCCTAACGTAGTGAATACAAGCAGAGAGAGGG